TTAGTGGTATATAATTTGTTAAAAGTGGATACATATATCGTAAAATTGAAAGTACTAAAGGGTGACTTTGGCCATGTTTGATATGTGTCTGACCGAGTCATGTCAAACATTTTTGGCTGACTTGGTCAGCTCAGCTGAAGGTGTTTGATAAACAAATTTTGGGCATCTGAATCAGAAAAGAAGATCTGATTGAGAAAGGAGTGGAAAATTTGTTGACTGAGAAAGGAAGAAAGGTTTCCAATCGTACCCTTTCCCTAACTCAACTTTTCAGATCACACATTCACCCCAAAATAATCCATCGTGTTCTTCAATGTTCTTCACCGAGTTCATCAAATGAAAATTACAACCGCAGATTTCCAGATCAAAAACATCATCTCCAATTACACAGATTATCTAATTTGGACCTCATTGAATAACTCAATCTGATCGATGACAAAAAAAACATAAGTGGATTTATAATCAAAACTGAACAAATGAGGGAAATCAATCGATAATCATGATATCGATGAAGAAAAATTGATCCTAGAAAATCAATTAAATCAGATTGAATATAAATCACGACTGATATATGATCTGGATATTCGTTTTGTTGATTCAAAACTGATCAAGTGAAGAAAGAACGTTCGATCAAGAGGAAATCGAGAATCAGCGGACAAAAAAAAACAGAATTCATGAAATTTTGAATCAATTGACGCAAGAAACGGGAATAAGTACGAATTTTATTGATTTTGGGACACAAATCATTCAATGAACATACATTAGTGGATCGTGCTTACAAATTGAATTGGATGAACAATAATAGATAGAACAAAATTTGAACAATAATTGGATCAACATTTGGGCTACATCAAAGCAATCAGGCTAAAATGTATAGAGTAGCAGGGTAAGATGGTTATTTTTATTAGCCAGGATATTCAGTCAGATATACAATCAAACAACATGATTTCTTATTCGGTCAGAATTTATTACTCAGACAGACATTTCCTAGTCAGCAACTATCAAACATGCCCTTCTCCTCACATTTAGCCCCATTGACATCTGTCTTCATTATCCATATTTGTCCAAACCAATTTAAAACTACCCAATGAACACTGGCACCCTCTATTTCCATGGAGATTTTTCATCCCTATGGTTTGATGATTTTTATGCATTTGCTCTATTATTTTTTCTAATGTATATTGTAACACCTGGTTTTGAAAGTGCTCGTGTGTGTCTTCGGAGGCCAAGGGTATAAGCGTAATCTGGCGATTCGGTCTTTTATGGGTCTCGGGTTTTATCCGAAAGGTTTTAAGGCTTGGGGTGTAGCTTGGAGCGTAGGGCTTCATTCCACCTTTTCGTAGATATAAATTTCGTCGGAAACGGACTTAGAACGAAGAAGTTATAGTAATTCGAAGTTGTTGGCAGAATTGATCCCTGAATGGAAAAGTTTTCATGCAAGGTGGCAGCCAGGTGAGTACCCCCAACGTAAGCTGGTGTACGCCCAACGTAGGGGTGTAAGGTGGACGCGGGTGTTGGAGGCGTACGCCCAGCGTACACTCAAAGTTTCTAAACCCTAATTTTAGGGTTATGCCACTATAAAAGGAATAATATGCCTCTTTGGTCAGCCTCCATTTCATATTTAGATAGCCACCACGAAACCCTAATCCTCCCATGAGTGTTCTTGGAGCTTTGTAGGCCATTAGAAGAGCATTATGGTGTTGTGAATCTATTTTCCAAGCAAGTGAAGAGCAAGGCATGGTGGTGGTTCAAAGGAGAGGTTGCAGATTTGGGATTGTTGCTTCATTTCTAACCATTTCAAGGTATAAAGATCTTAACTTCGTGATTATCTTCTTAGATCTCTTAGATTGAGTTTTTGGACCATTTTGGTCCAAAGGTTGAAGCTTTGTGATTGATCCGATTTCTAGGACTTGGAGTTGCTACTCTCAGTTCTAAATGGGTCCCTAAGGCAGAAAGTTGCCATCTTGGAGGTCTTCATGGGTTCATGCATGAGTTAAGACCATTTCCATGGAAGTAGATTATCATTTTTGGAGTTTGAGCTTATGTGGGTCATGCAAAGCCATCAAGTAAGTAACTTTATGGTTTTAGACGTTGAAGAGGACTTGGATCTGTAATTGTAGCTTCTGGGGTAGAGTATTAAGCACTTATTGGAAAAGTGGCTTAACAGAGGCATACGATGGGCGTACATGCAGGTACGCGCAGCGTACACCACCTTCAGCCAGTACGCTTAGCGTACAAGGTAGTACGCCCCACGTACTCATCAGTTATGGGCTTGGAGTGTTTTGGGCCTTGGGTTGGGCCATTGGGCCTTAGTGGATCATCAGAAGTCAGATGTATGGGCTTAAGGTAAGGCCCATTGGAGGGGTTGGGACCAATTTGGCAAATTGGGCCATTAGTGGACCACTAGTGGGCTTGGAAAGCCTACCTAGTGTTGGGCTTTTGTTTTGGTATTGGGCCTTAGTTTTGGATCGTACTGGGCTAGGGGTAGAACGGTCATTTTACCCATGCATGGATTAAGGATTTTGGTATGGGACCCAATTGCTAATTGGGTATATTGTTTGGTAGTGACAGCTCGGGAAGCTGGCGGGGCAGCAGCTAAGGAATTCAAGCGGGACTTCAGCAATGCTAGGTGAGTCACCAAGGTCGGCCCATTTTATGATATGTGGTATACTAGCTGAAGTTGTATTATGTGACATGTTAGCTGGTTATGTGCTAGGAAGTATGCTAGTGGTACATATGGTATGGAAGACTATGGGAGAGCCCATGACACCTAGATGTAAGACCATGTGGAGAGCCCATGGCTTTCCTACTATGTTGTAGTGTTAATGTAGATTCACTACTGATATGTATGGTATGCATGTACAGGTGGTATGCTAGTGATTATGTGGTATGCTAGTTGTCTTTGTGATACTTGCATGGAAGACCATGGGAGAGCCCATGGCACCTAGATGTAAGACCATATGGAGAGCCCATGGCTTTCCTATCAAAGACCATGGGAGAACCCATGGCACTTAGGTGTAAGACCATGTGGAGAGCCCATGGCATCCTGGAGAAAGACCCTGGGGACGAGCCCACGACATTCGTATATGTTGATATGTATAGATATGTGATTGATATGGTTTATGTAGCTTTTATAGCTAATATGGATTATGTGATTATGTGGACTGTGTGGGGTATGATCTGGGGAACTCGCTAAGCTTCGTGCTTATAGTTTTGTTTATTGGTTTCAGGTATCATCGATTTGGAACAGAAGGGCTCGGATTGATCGCAGTGCACGCACCTATGTTTTCCGCGTTGAATGATTTTGGGATGAACTCTGATAAATGTTTTTAATTAACGATGTTTTAGATGTTTGGAATAAATGATATCTATATTTTGACTATATTAAAAATGAAATTTTTACCCTTGATTTTTGGGTCGTTACATGTATCGTCCGTACAATGGTTCTTCATCTTGTTTTTCTTCCATGAGATGAATATCTTTAATTTATAACGGTTAAAACTCATGTAAAATCACTAATCTATCCTGATTTTTATATTTTATTATCAGTTTCATTATAACTATTATTGTTATTGTTATTATTACACGGGGATGAAAAGTATGAATAAAAATATCTTTTTAAAGGGACGAAAACGTTAAAAACGAAAAAAACCATAAAAATTATGAAACCAGGACAAAAATATAATTTACCATTAAATATAGAATAATCTTCATTGGAGCATGGTTTCCCAGAAGATCATGTTTCATGCTTAACTTTTTTCGGGCTCATAGAAGGTCCTTGAGGTTTTAAAACTTTTCATTGACAGTCATTTTAGCTCACTCTATCAATTTTGATAGAGAAAACTGTAAAATTGGTCCTTGTGGTATTTAAAAAACTTTGGATAGGGTCCAAAAAAATTTCAACTTGCATGAAAGATCTGAAATCAAGAAATTTCCTTTGGTTTTGGTCCTTGGAGGACTTGAAAAGACTGTTTTGCCCTTTTATTATTTTTTTTGTACTTGTTTTATATTTTCTTTAATAACTTATTAATTAAAAATTAAAAATGAAAGAATTGGGCTCTCTCTCTCTCTCTCTCTCTCTCTCTCTCTCTCTCTCTCTCTCTCTCTCTCTCTCTCTCTCTCTCTCTCTCTCTCTCTCTCTCTCTCTCTCCTGCAAATCAAACTCTCACAAAACACACATACGATTAACATAAACACACACAAATTGCTTTCTGGGCTTTTTAGGAATAACGACTAACATAAACATACACAAATCGATGGCTGATGGAATTGACAGAAGAAGAAGCAATATGTTTGGGTTTGAAATCGGATGTAATGTATTTGGGTTGTGTTTGTAGGAAACGAAAACCACAAACCACAAACAGATATGGATATTTGGTGATGCTACAACCAAACGGCGTTAATGGTGGTGTCTGTGGATGGATCTCCGGGGCAGAGGAGGAAGACGCTCTTGCTCCGCCCATGACTTCAAATCGTCATCGATGGTGGATCTCCTAAGTTCGTCATCATTCCAGTTGATGTTCATCGGGTGTGTTCCAGGTGGTGTTCATCGGAGCTCATTGTCATTTCAAGCGGTGTTCTTCAGGTAGAGTTTTGTATGTGGTTTTCGTTTCAGATTTGGCATTCTCCATCTTCGTTTCAGATCCGGAAAGAACAGCCCACCTTCAAGCATGGTAACCTTTTTGTTCATGTGTAAAATTGGAGGTGGGAATTATAAAGCTTGTATCTTAATGCAACTTTTGAAGATTATTAAAAAAACTTGTGGGTGGGGTGGTCCCCAACATATATTTTTTTTTTCTTTTGTTTGTTTTTTAATTAACAAGGTATTAAAACAAATATAAAAATACAAAAAAGAAATGAAAAGGGCAAAATAGTCCTTTCGACATTTTTTGGACTAAAATCACAGGAAATTCTTGATTTTGGACCTTTAATGCAAGTTAAAAACTTTTTGGACCTTATCCAAAGTTTTTTTTAATACCACACCAACCAATTTTACAGTTTTGTCATTTTCATACGTTAAGTTAATTCACAACATGTGCAAGGCATGTGAAGGTAAAATCGTCCTTTACAAACCACAGAGACCATTCATCAATGCTTGTAAAATACAAGGTTTCTACTGCAATTGGTTTTTAATGCTTCCTCTAATGCTTCAGCCTGATCAAAACTAATTTTAAATGTCACCATTGTTATTCCATCTTTTCCAGTATCATAATCTTGCTTAATTTCTTCAGCTTTAAATGCCTGAAGCTAAATAAAATCACCAAAAACAAAAGTTAAATTAATATATTATATAATATATTAACCGTTAAAAGTAATTATTTATTTACTTATATATTTATTACTACCACACAATGTTCAGTCTTACCTGATGGTAAACAACCCCCAAAAGGTCAAAACTAACCTCAACACCCATACGAACCTGAAAGAATAAAATGTTTTCCAAATATTATTTATTTGTTTATTTTATAAAATCATGAAAATTAGTGGAAAAGTAATTACTTGAGATTTTATAAGTCGTGTAGGAGCATTTTTCAAGCATTCTGTTGCTACTCCACCATAGGCCCTAACTAAACCTCCAGTTCCTAATTTGATCCCTCCAAAGTGCCTAAAAAATAAACAACTATTTTATTAATTTCTTCACTTAAAATTCATAGAAATTTTGATAAATTTTACCTAATGACAACAACCATTATTCGATCTAATCCAGAATTTTCAATTGCAGAATGAATTGGTTTGCCAGCTGTACCAGATGGTTCACCATCATCGTTACTTCTATACTGATTTCCAACCTAGAATGCAAGGTTAATTATTTATAAAGAAGAAACATAATAAAAAAAATGGATTGTGATAAAAGAAAACACATATATATATATATATATATATATATATACCTTATAAGCCCAGCAATTATGAGTTGCACGTGGATCTTGAACCTAATGGGTCATGATTCATGAAGATTTAGCTTCAAGTTGTCATACAATTAAGGTGAAAGAAAGTCTTAATTTGATTTTGGAGGTGTAAGTTGTAACACCCCAACCTAAAGCAGATTTAGCCAAAACTATCTCGAAATGATTTTAAATCATGGTGAGAAGTTATTTAGCCCATTAACAATGGCTATAAGGGGCTAAAAATTCATAATCACTAGTATAAAATTACAGACATAGGTTTGATTCAGTTATTACTTTGAACATCTCCAATAAGCATATACTGATAAGTTAGATTATGTTTTTAAGGTATTGTTCAAATTGAAGATGTGTTTTCTAACACGAAATGCTTCTACTTAATAATTTGCAACAGTTAGATTCGATTATCTATGTTTTTTGCTTGATACGAAACAAATTCTCGTAATTTTAGTTGTATCAAGCATTAACTTTTCGATTATCACTGAATCAAAAACAGAAAACTGGCTAATCGATGTTATATACTGGAGCGAGAGAAATACCAGATGCGTATACCTCGGAAAGGAAAGACTGGGCTGAGCGCTCGTCGGGGATGTGGCCGGCAATAGCGATGAATTTACTTTTCTTAATATCACGTTCCAAACTGACTCTCTCTGCAATCGTCGTGAAAGCACCACCGCCGGTAGAGGTAGCAGCGACGCTGCTACTGCTACTGCTGCTGGTGGCGGTGACCATGGATCTGAGGAGGAAGAGAGAAGAGGAGATGCGATGCTGGTGGTGGTAGCAATGGTAGGTTAATATCAAATTCGAAACCTGCATTTGGGGACACCAGTTCTAATTGGAATTTTGGAATGAAATCCCTTCTCTTCGATTTTCAATCTCTTTCACGTGTCGTATGTAACAAAGAAAAAAAAAAGATCAATTTTGAACCGAATAATAAGTTAGATATTATGTTTTTTAACTTTTAAAACAATAACAAAAAATAGTATTATTGTTACATTTAAAAAACAAAAACAGTATGGGCCAGCTATTTGAAATGAGAGAAAACAAAAGATCTTATGTTTTATAAAAAAAACTCTATATCCATGTTAAAAATCCGGCCCATTTGTTAAAGTCCATATATATAAACCCACATATGGTCAATAGAGGATGTTTTGGAATTTGTAACCCTTTAACCAATTTGAATCTGTCGGCTCGACATCTTTTAAAAATGACAGGTTTTGGTTAAGACCCGACTAGTTAAAGGGATTTTGTATTAATTTCAAGTCCTTGAAAGTGTATTTTTTGGGGGAAGGGTGTTTAGGACATTTTACATAGACGAAACTTTTTTTTTTGAAAACTCAAAAGTTTTTGCTTAAAACACCACCACAAACATCTACACACCTCGTCTAGCTCAATTGCAACTCAAAAGTTGCAAAAATCACACAAATTTTTTTTTTTGAAAAAACAATTGTACATATATGCACATGATGTGCATGTATACACATTTGCAAACCTAAACAATATTTCGAATACTTTGATATGTAAATGGCTTCAATGGCGAATCTAGAACCAAAAACCACATGGTTCCTTATGTAAATAAAACTGAAATAGGTTGGTCTTTTAGCAAAAATAGGTAGGTCTTTTAGCAAAAATGATATAGTTTCTACATATTTTCTATATATATTTCTTGTATTAAAAAAAAAGTAGGTCCTAGGACCTACCTTCTATAAGCTTGGATACGCCCCTGAATGGCTTAGACGAAGTGTATTATTGTAAGAAGTATTTTGGTGATGTTTTGAGTTAATAATAAGTTCTTACACATCATTTGGTTATCAAAATAAAAATCTTGAATAAACATTACAACAATATATAAAAATAAATGGAAATTATCAACATATTTGTTATAGAAAGGTACAAGAAAACCGACAATTGTTAATGATAAAGTTATAAATTTATTTTAAACAGAAAAAATAAAAAATATCAACAGTTGTTATAGAAAGGTACAAGAAAACCGACAATCGTTTATACATTTGGGATTTTAGTCGATTATCTTTAGAAATGTCTTTATATTTTGAGTTTATTAAGAATAAATGCATGTCTTTTTAATAGAATATGAAATTAGTATTATCTTATTATAATATTAGTGTATTCTCTATGTATGAGAGATATAATTATCTTATTGTAATGTTATTATATTCTATCTGTATCATAGAAGATATTATCTTATTATAATTTTAATGTATTCTCTTTGTGACTGTTATCTTAATATAGTCTTAATGTATTTTCTTTGTTTTAATATAGTCTTAATGTATTCTCTTTGTTTTACAGGGGATCTTGTCTTACTATAATAGATTTCTTGTATATTCTTTGTGTCTAATAGAGAATTTCTTTGACAACGGATATTCTTAATTTGAATATATATTTTTTGTCATTCTATGATCGAGATTTTAAACTTATAATGAGACAAAACCATGTATTAGGCATAGAGAATACAATAACTTAACAATAAGATAATACACTATGTCATGCAAAGAGAATATAGTGAAATTGTAGTACAACAAGATTCATATTTATCATTAATGAACCTAAAATATATGAATTTTCTGAAGATTGTCCTTTAAAAACCAAGATTACTAACTAAAATCTCAAACAAGCAAAAGATTGTCGATTTCTTGTTATTTTCTAGAAACAAAACTGTACGAATTGTCCCTGTGGTTAGCTGAAAATTGTCACTTTGGTCCAAAAAAGTTTGGACTAGCACCAAAGGTCCAAACTTTTCATTTTATTGTGAGTTTGGTCCGATATTGTTTGAATTTTTTTTATAAAGACGATTTTGCCCCTTATTATTTAATTTTTCATTTTTCTTTTATTACAACAATTAAAAACAATTAAAAATAAAAGAAAAATAATACACACACACACACACTCTCTCTCTCTCTCTCTCTCTTAAAGTCTGTAACTCTTCTTTCATTTTCATATACACTGATTCACCACCACTTGTAGGAAGATGAAAATTACCGATACACTACCGCCACCCGTCGTCGTCGCCACCGTTATCCACTGTCGTCGTCTCCACAACAACCACCATCAGTCAGCCTTCAAGAACGCGACCACCAACATCTTCTTCATGCCTTATCTTCTTCATTACCGGATCTGGAACGCCACCCTCTACCTTCTCTGATATCGTCTACCGGAAAACACAAATCGTTGTCGTCGTCCCTACTAGGGTTTTCACAGATCTCCACCTCCAACGCACGAAACCATCGCCGAAAACCCTAGCCCAGCCGCCCTTCTCTCCATCTGTTTAAGATCTGATAACCCTTCTCTCCCCCTCTCCCAGATCCGAAAACCCTGTAAATCCACCTTTATGATGTGCCATATATCCGAAAACCATGTAAACCCACATCTGTGATGTAAACCCACCTATGTGAGGCTGTAAAGAAACGGGTATTTCAATACAACTCATATTCACTCTGTAATACATTACACTTTTGTTCCATTACATGAGAAATCAAGTAAAAAATTTAAACTGGAAGTGCTCAAACGAAGTGGGTTTTCTGAGAAGTTCATTACCTTAATATTTATACAGATCGATGGTAGATAGAGATGGAGGGTTTAGTTGGGTTTTTTGTTTATATGTGTGTGTGAGTGAGAGTTTTTTGTTTGGTTGAAAGCTTTGAGCCTGAAGTGGGTGTAATTATCTTTGAAGAACAATCAAGAACCTTTTTAGGTATGGTGATGACGATTGTTTCGTGTTTATCGAAGTGATACATGAGGTCCTAAATGAATTTCTGGTTCGATGGATTTTGGGTTCTCGAAACAAATCAAAACGGTCAAAGCATTTAATAAAAAAAATTGTGATTTTGTTGAAAAAAACATGTGAAGAACAATAAATTTTAGTGGAAAATGGATATTTGATCTAAAAAGATGAGGGTGGAATGAAGAATGGGTGTTTGTTGAATTCCAGATACGAAAGTCTGTTGATGAACTTAATTCATATTCACATAGAGAGAGAGAGAGAGAGTATTTTCTTTTTTCTTTTATTTTTAATTCTTTATAGTTGTTGTAATAAAAGAAAATTAAAATATTAAATAATCAGGGGCAAAATCGTCTTTAAAAAAAATGAAAATTTTGGACCTCTGGTGCTAGTCCAAACTTTTTTGGACCTCTGGTGCTAGTCCAAACTTTTTTGGACCAAAGTGGCAATTTTCAGCTAACCATAGGGACCATTTGTGCAGTTTAGTCTATTTTCTATAAACATTTAATTGTTCATTGTCCTTTTCTATTTTAAAAAAATCATGAGTTATCGTCAATGAGCCTAGAATATAAGCAATTTGTAGAAGATTTCCCAAAAATACTCAACACACTATGATTTATATAAAAATAAATTAGAAAGTAGTTCCAGAAGAATATTCCAACCAACAACTATAAAAATACAAGCATATCTAAATTCATAATATGAAAAACAAATAAGGGATAAAAGACTTGAACATAATGATTTAGAGTAGTTATTTTTTTGGGGGGAAAGGGAACTTCCATAATGAGGGTTTACAGACCAACTTTCACGCACCTATTAATCCCCCACCACAAACATGAGTCTATGGCTCATGCCCAAGAATCATTGCAGGCGAACCTCCGTGGCCACAGAGGCTGGGTGGTTGTCTCTATACCGATAGGTTAATCCACTTCGTCAGTGAGTCCATCTCCATCTTCACTAGCTTCACTCGATGATGATGATCCACTAAAACCACGAACCTTTAAAGGTATATTTGAAATCATATCTACAAGATTTGATATCTTGAATTCTCAAGACAAACTTAAGTGGAAAAAATTAATTACTCACAAAAAGTTCAAACAATTACAAATGAGGATCTTGACATGGCTCGTCTTAGCTTGTAAATATTAAGGCTTGACCTTGCCTCCACCTCACACATCACACCATTTAGAACTTTTGGTATTCCCATACCATTTTGACCTGATGGGATTTTTGGTAGATTTAAGTCTTATACTTTTTTATATTAACTACTAGGTAATTAATAAATTAGTATGGTATGGACATTAAGAAGACTTGGATATCAAAATTTAAATGATGAGATGTTTATGTTGGCATTCTATAAGGTCTTTGTAGCTTATTGGGTCTTGCGTACCCTCTATGTAGTACATGTGCGATAGTTCACATGTTAAACAGTTATAGATGATTGAGCCTATATGAGTATGCTTCTCCTTTATAAAGGTATTCCCACTTATATCATACTCCCCCGCAGGTGGTTCACTATTTTGGTGAAGACACGAAGTCGTTTTGTCTTACACTCACAAAGTGATGTTGCATTACCCTTCCCGGCCACCTGTGATTGAAACCCCATGATTGGAATTGAGACCTCCCATTTGGGAAGCCACTTTCCCTTACCATGTGACCCATAAGGTGATGCTTGAGCCTCTATAAGTATGATTTGTGCTAACTTGGCTACCTCACCATCTACCATTAAGGAGAAAAAAGTCTTCATGTGATATTGAATATTTTGCATAAAACATTCTAGTAGTTAGAAGTAAAAATAGGATTCAATAAAAATATGTGATATAAAGTAATTATTGATTAGAAGTAGAAGTAAGTTGCATGCTATAAAACAATCAAAATAACATAAACTCATAAACATATCAAGATTTAAGAGTAAGTGATTATTGGTAATAGAGAATTAAAGAGACTTAAAGAGATTAATGGGATGATGATCGGTGGGTGTTGTTCCATTGTGGAGTCAACGGATTGGAGAGAGAAGAGCGAATATGAGAATCAATCGATTACTAGTTGAGATTACTGATGGGTTGTACGTGCTCAATATGTTGATGGCATCCAATTCTACATGTACATTTGGGATGTATCTACATTTAACTTAATAACTCCTTTGAAAATTTTAATACTACCTCCGTCCCATATTTATTATCCACTTTTGACTTTTGAAGTCTTTATTCTTCAACTTTGATCTTATTTATTTTTCTTTTTGATTTATAATATTTGATGAAAATATATGAATTGATTGTGTTTTAAATGTCTTTTCATTGTTATAAGTTTTATCAAGTAATATATAACACAAATAAAAATATTTAAGGTCAAAGCTGAAAAATAAATGTTTTAAAAGTCAAAAGTGGACAATAAGTATGAGACGAATGAAGTATGTTATAATGGGGTTTAGTTCCGTTAATATTAGGTTGGTTATCGAAGTGAAATCAAAACCATAATATCTTTGACCGGTTAACAAAAATTAAAAATGGCACCGTCTATTTTTTATTATGGTTCGTCTATTTTTAGTCTGTTATTTCGGTTTTTATTTGATTTTTCTGTTATAATGTTCACCCGTGTTTACTAGTATTGCATTTTTAAAGATTGGAATGTTACAAACAATATCCAAATATTATATTTTGGAGATTGGGACATTACAAACAACAATCATGTAGAAGATTCAATTGGTGCTCTACTTGCTTATTTGGTTATTTTGTTAAAATAACTTATGAGGGGCAAGCCTCAACTATAAACTAGTCACATTACAATATTTTGACCATTTCTTATTTTATCTTTTAGATTTAAATCATAAAATTAATTCTAGAATTAATTATTTCAACCAAAGTCGCAATTTTTACCTAATAATTATCTTTGGGATCAATGGTTACCTAAAAATGTCCGTATCAACTTAAATGGCAAATACCCAAATTTCAAAATGTATGATTTTCTTCTGCTACTCCTATTAATTTCGTATATATGTTTCCTTTTACTTCTTCAACTTTCCTCGAAAAGCATATCTCATCACTCTCTTCTGTCTTTGTAGCATATTCACAAAGACCCACTTTTCCTGTTTTATCACCCTCTCTCCATACACCTAAACCCTAAATTCCTACCCATTTAACTGTTTTTACCCAATTGTATTCTAAAATTCTTCTTCCAGAATAATGGGAGTGAAAGGATTTGTTGAAGGCGGAATAGCATCAATCGTAGCCGGATGTTCAACTCATCCACTTGATCTTATCAAGGTCCGGATGCAGTTACAGGGTGAAAACAACGTACGCGCCGCCCCAGCACAGTTGGGAGCCAATATCCACGTCGCCGCACCACCGCGCGTGGGACCCGTTGCAGTTGGGATGCGGATCATCCAGCAAGACGGAGCAGCAGGGCTCTTCTCCGGCGTATCCGCCACCGTTCTCCGTCAAACACTATACTCCACCACACGTATGGGTCTCTACGACATGATGAAGACAAAATGGACCGATCCCGAAACCGGAAACATGCTATTATGGAAGAAGATCGGTGCCGGATTAATCGCCGGTGGGATCGGCGCCGCTGTTGGGAACCCAGCGGACGTGGCGATGGTCCGCATGCAGGCTGACGGAAGGCTCCCGGCTGCACAGCGTCGTAACTACAAAAGCGTGGTGGATGCGATCTCACAGATGGCAAAAAGCGAAGGGATCGGAAGCCTTTGGCGAGGATCATCGCTGACTGTGAATCGGGCCATGTTAGTGACTGCATCGCAGTTGGCGTCGTATGATCAGATCAAGGAGACGATACTCGATAAAGGTGTGATGGAGGATGGTTTTGGGACCCATGTGACGGCGAGTTTTGCTGCCGGATTTATTGCTTCAGTTGTAACGAATCCGATTGATGTAATTAAGACTCGGGTGATGAATATGAAGGTGGAGGCCGGGGAAGCGCCGCCGTATGCCGGAGCAACTGATTGCGCATTGAAAACCATAAAGACTGAAGGACCCATGGCACTGTATAAAGGATTTATTCCGACGATATCACGGCAGGGACCATTTACGATCGTGCTATTTGTCACACTGGAACAGGTCCGGAAATTGCTCAAGGATTTCTGATTTGATTGATGACGACGACAAATGATTTAGTGTTTTTTTTTAGCATAAAAGTTCCCATGTTTTATTATTTTTTTTTTTTGGTTTTATTTTTGTTTCTTTATGGGAAAATAAATTATAAAAATATCATTACTTTTTAGGATAATATAGCCTAAACATCTTTTGTCATTTAAATCATTTGCTAGAATCTTTTTTAGTTAGACCATAATAAATATATTTTTGGGAAAACCTCGGAAAAACCCAACGTATTTTCATTAAATGCTTAAAAAAACCATTATATTATTTTTTAGTACACTAAAACCCTTATATTTTCTAAAATTCTTATTTAAAGTTTTCTGACCTGAGAAAAACCTAATCTATTTTCATGAAAGGATTAAAAAACCATTATATTATTTTTTTAGTGCATTTAAACCCTCATATTTTTTAAAATTCTTTTAATATAATGAGTTGTAACAAAAGAAACGTTAAGAATCGATAACCTAACATTTTTGGCTATCTAAGACATACCGACTTCAATGCCTTAAATGATACATTTTAAAAAATATAAGGGTTTTAACGTACAAAAAAATAATATAGTGGTTTTTTTAAGACTTTCCTGAAAAAATATGTTGGGTTTTTATAAGATTATCCCTATATTTTTTATCAAAATAATTGTCTTATCAATAGAATAATTCAAAAACTATATAAGTATTCTTATTGTGTCACATTCCTATTTGTTATTATTAGTTTATTACCATGTGCCCCATCATCCATCCAACTCCCTTACAGCTCCTTCACATTTGGATTGTTTTCTGCAATCATTTATCTAGGATCAAGTTTCATAACCTTGTTGAGAACTTAAAGTATCGAATGTCTAAAATATTATTAGTACTTTGTAATTTACATTCCGCATGATGAATGATAATGAGTTAAACATAAATGATGGTACGATTTATTACTATGTTTTATCTGCAATCAAATTGTTGTGAAATAATAGATGTCTTGTAAATTCTAAATAATCTGATAATCACACCCAAAAAGATAGAAGTTTGATTTTCTTTTCATTGTCATTTAAAAAAGTTTTGTTTACATGATAGGTGATTGAAAGATAAAAAAACAATAGTTGATATTGTTTTATTAACTACATTAATAATAAATATTATGTTTGAAAGCGGTATTTGAATTATTATGTATGTATTATTTAGTCGTTTAATTTCATTTTGGAGGTTGAAGGTCATTCAATTTTTAAAACTATAGTTATTATATATACGTAGATTTAAAGATCGGATTGATAAAATGGAAAACATCCATTAGAGGGTCCCGTTAAAACTTACTGGAAGTTTCGATAAGGTGGTTGTAAGGCCACATTTGTTGTATGGATCTAAATTTTAGCCGATGACGAAGGAATATGAGAAGAAGATGGAAGTCGTGAAAATGAGTATGGTATGAAGATTTTTTTTTTGTAGAACACTGTTGGACTAGGTTTCTCAAACACAACTGATAATCAGAATCTCACTAGGAGTGATGAAAATCAACAAGAAATTTAAGAAATGAAGATTGCATGACGTTATACCTAAAGGAGTTGGATATTTACGAGGACATGAGCTCAAATACGAGGGCATCAAGATACGAGGGCATGAATGCATATGATCAAGTTACTAGAGTAAAATATGAGTAGTCTTTTGAGTTTAACCTTTCTTTGAACTTGTAATATTTTCAAGTTGGCTTTTGTTTGTGCTTGATGAGTACCTTTGTTCATTCTTTATTGTTTGCTTGTATTTGTTAGTATCTACTCCAATTTTGTGGCTGGTGTTCGCTCTATGCTTTATTGCTACTGTTTGATTACATTATTTATACATGTATCACTTTGAGGTCAACCTTTGTTTGTTTTTACATTTCTAAGTATGTCATTTGCTTCCCTGTTTGTTGTATATTTTATATGTTTGCATTCTTATATGTCTATCTTTTGCTTCCCTTCGTATGACCAATAAGATAGGAAATAACCACTTTATCTGAAAATTTGCCAAAATTGTCATATGACAGTTTACAATAAGATAGGAAATAACCACTTTATCTGAAAAATTGCCAAAATTGCCATATGGCAGTTTCGTAACCAGCCAGGGACTCTGCCAGGGGTTGCCACCCTTTGGACCTCGCTACCAGGGGTGCTGGCCCCTGGACCCCATGGTTTAAGGGTTTCACCCTTAAATAACAATGTACTTTAAATCAAGACAAACTCAAACAAGTGTGCACTCCGCACTATCCTTACTTGTTCAATATTTTTCAAGATCACGTTGGTCAACAAGTTCATCCCATTACACTTAAGTGATATTGGTGACACATATCACCAAAAATATTCTCTAGTATTTGATACGCATATTATGCCTAATGTTTACCTTTAAACCTCTTCATTTATAGTTTTATTGTTTATATCTTCTTTTTCCTTTTAGTCATCAAACACTTACAAGTGTCATTTTGTTTAGTTAATGATTTATTTATTTTCTTATGTGATTCGTGGTGAGCTGATGTTTTAATATACATGAGATCTAATTCAAGGATAAGGTATTTTGTATTTTACTTTTTGTTTTTTTGTTTATCGGAGGTTGTTTTTGGAAACAACTTCGATTGTTCACCATCTTACCGCTTCTTAGCTCATTCTTATGCGATTTGCTGTTTTGTTATTGTATTTTTTTTTTTGTAGAATTTCGTATATTCCCTTATTAAACGTGAAAATATCATATTTGTCTAGTCTAACATTTAAATATCATATTTGCAATTTTTAACGTTCTAAAATATCTAATTGTACAATAATTGGTTTAGGAATTTTAAGATTAACCTTTTCAGGAGCGTCCCGTTGATTTTGAAGTCCATGTGCGAAAAATAAAATTGGACCCGTATTTTTTTTTTTAAATATAAACAAAATTTGTTCATACGACGATAACTCGATAAATGTTATAAAACAATCGAAACAAATGAACGATAATATATATATATACACATGAATCGTGAGGCTATTGGAAGCAAAATTGTTCCACAACTCTTCATAATCAATATTCTCTAATATTTCATTCTCAATAGCTATCATTGCCAATTTGTTACGTATTTCTTGTGACTTTGTGATTGTTAGGCGCTCAACAAGGTAACCTAACCATCAAGAAGAAGTATCCACTTTGACTGCAAACACATATCCTTTCCCGTTCACGTTTTTTTTTCCGGGTATAAAAGATGTTTTATGTAACATTCCAAAAATAGAGATAAAAATTTTCATTTTAATATCATAATATCCATACATCGGGTGTCTCAAAATCAACCATAATACAGTTTATCAAAATCATCAGACCAAAATAGTCATAAATGTTGAATCATTAAGGGGTTGTTGTGTGATCGCGTCGGACCCTTCCCTTTTTCGAATTGGAAGTACCTGAAAATGTTAAACCACAAAACCGTAAGCACAAAACTTAGTTAGTTCCCAAAAATACCACATACCATACATACAAGTGACATGGGCTACCCCCGAGGTCTTTTCCCTGAAATGTCATGGGCTACCCCAAGGTCTTACAAGCAGGTGCCATGGGCTACCCCCATGGTCTTTCCTTGAAATGCTATGGGCCACCCTCATGGTCAGACATCCAAGTGTCATGGGCTACCCCATGGTCTTTCATATAATTGCTATGTGTTATCCCCATGTTCTTTCATACAAGTGACACGGGTATACCCTAGGATCTTCCATGCAAGTATCACAAAAACAGCTAGTATACTATATAACACAATCCAATGGGTTGAAATTGATGCCTTCAACCCATGAGTACAGTGAGACTGGAGAGCACCTATCCGAGCTAGCCCATTCACTAGACTACACACCGGCTAGGCTTCAGCTTCTCGGTTTTGATTATGAGTCGGATGAGGACGAGGAGGACACTTCCACCTCGCCGGAGATCTCACCACCCTACCCCACTCCTTCACATTTATCCTACAGAGCATACACTAGTAATCGGGTGAAATAAACCCCGAGGAAGACTACTATCGTTCCCTCTCGAAAGAGAGTGGCATCCCCCCAACATCATCACCGCCAACGACTATACCATGTGGAGACGCCACTTGGATGCCTCAGATTAGAGCCTGGAGACAGGAGGAGGATATCAGTTCGAATTTCGAGTTAGGGAGTCCTCTACGGCACCAACTCCAACCCCGAACACACATGTTGAGCAAGCTATCTCACTCCTAGTACCACGAAGCGCCCATCACTCGGATCACATAGGAACAATGGAATCCAAGCTCTTCCATTTGAGGATGGCCCTGAGGCAGCTCACGGAGCAGGTATAGTATTTGGAGAAGGAGTGGGATGTGATGGATATGAGAAACCTGCTCATTTAGGACCAGTTGCAGGAGACGAGGGATGAGGCCCAATTTCATCATCTGGTGTTGGAGGAGGTGATCATTCACACAGACAGATTAGAGCTCCAGGTGGAGAGGACGGAGTCACGAGTTTCATTTTATGATGTTTGGATTGATGATGTGTATAGAAAGTTGGTTCAGCTGATGACTCTCTTGATAGTGTAATGCAGATACTAGTTTTCTTTTCTATACCCTGGCACGATGGCTAGGAAGGATACTTATATTTTTTTGGGTTAGAGTATTGTACTAGAAAAGATCATACACATTTGTTTTGTAACCTTAGAGCTTTTCTTACTCTAACCACCCCTTGTTTTGATAGTCTTTCTATATGATATATGATGCATAGTATACTTGCATGGTTGCATGAAATCTGTGTTGTTGTAATATTACTGTTTCCATTAACACTAACATTGACACACCACAACATAACCATGAGGGTACGAACTTACTGATTCTGACCAATTAACTCACCTTTCGACACTAACTCTAGGAATTAGAAATGGCACCCCCAATAATTACCAGATCTAGCCAAGGTCTTCAAGATGAGCAAGATGCCCAGTGTTCTCAAAGTAAGCCAACTCTAGACCATGCGGCTATTGAGGCAATGGTTGAGCAAAGGATAGTTGATG